AAGAAGGGCTTAATTGCTTTGATCCCAGAGTTTAAGGGCTTAACTGCATCAATTAAAGTCTAGGGGCTTAATAGTGATTCTGGGGTTAGTTCAGAGGCTTTACTTATGGTTTTGCCAAAAAAAAAGAGGAAATGGGAAATATGTGGGTGTCGGTGTCGGTGTGGAGGTGGGTCCCATAAAAGTATATAATTTAAAAAGGAAATCAATTTTTTGTTTTGAGAGGGTAATGGTTAGGAAATTAGTATGAATTAGTTATGAGCAACTGGGGATTCGATTTCTAAACCAGGTGAACATTCTATCCCCTCAAATGAGGCGCACCGCCATCAGACCGCTTTTTGGTGAAGTTCACAACGGTAATAGAGTTTAAAGCTCCGACCACTTCACATAAGCACTTAAGGTTTGGGGTCAAACCATTGGGTATAAAACCGGTTCAAAAGAAAAAAAAAAAAAGGGAAATCAATTTGAAACCAAAAAAACCCGTTAAATTTAACGATGTTTTATTATGTGGCATTAACTTGGACAGAAACGAATACAAAATATGAAGTAGACGGATATTAATGGAAAAGATTAAATGTTAATTGTGGCACTCAATTTTGTTATGGACTTCTAGTTTGGTTCATGAACTAAATAAATCTATGTTTTGGTCTCCTAAACTTTTTAAAAAAATTCTTTCTTTTTTTTTTTTAATCTCAAAATAGGAATTTATTTAGTTAAATGACTAAATCAATGGTTCATACAAAAATTTAGGTATCAAAACTGGAGTTTAACTTAATAGTAATTTTGTAATTAAATAAACTTTTAAACCAATATAGACAAAAAATTTTGTCCACATTATCAATTGTTGCTATATGAAATTTCTGCGCCATGAATTTGAAGGTAAAAACAAGTTTAGATGTCAAATAGGGTGCCGTAAGCTAAAATTTAAGGAAATAACTTAAATAGAGCTGAAATTAAAAATTTAGGGATCAAAACAAAGATTTATTTAGTTCAGTGATCAAATCAGGGGTTTGTATCAAAGTTGAGGACCAAAAGGGAGGCTTAACCAATGCACAAACAAAGAGAGCAAAAGGATGATAATGAACAAAAACAGTGTATAACGATGATAGTGAACAAATTTTCAAAATGTAAGGACTTTTTAAAATGTTGGCTTTAACCCAAAAAAAAAGTTTTTTTTTTTAAAAAAAATTTGTTTTCCTTAGAAAAAACAATAAACTAGACCAAAGTAAAGTAGGGCTTATTTGATTCCATCCATAAATCAATTTTCTCTGTAAACATTTTTTTTTACAATTTTAATATATTATTAAATGAATAAATACATAAAATATCATATATCTTCATAAAGTCAAAAACTCATTCATTAAATAACATAAAAGTTGCATAAAAAATTTTATAAAAAATTATATTAAAAAATTGCCTCTCAATTATTTTATAACAAAGTATTGTATATAACATTTTTTATCCATGTTTAAAAATGGATTATATAATTAGAGACAGTCATCTCCTTCTCAAATTGCTACTCATTGAACTTTTTATTTATTTTTAAAATTTTAATTTTTTTGGATAAAACCAAGGATATATTAATAATAAAAAATTGCAATGCATCCATGGCTTAATAAAGGCAGTTTATAAAAGCAAAGATATATAACATAAATTATAATCATGCCCTAAACTAATTTAGTTAATACGTCTATAAATGTAATAATCAAATGCTTACATAAATATAATAGCTAGGCCCAAGTTTAAAGTATGACAATTTAAACTCCTTCCAGCATAATCCACCTAAACAAAAAGCGCTCTATTATGACTATATATAGGGGTAACAACCAACCTACAAGTGTAAAAGGATTACTTTTTGAACTTCATCGACCACTAGGTAATTTCACTTATTCAACCCGTTTGAGCGAGAGTAAACCAATGTTTTTGGACCCAGTTCAGCCCGGTCGGCTGAACTGATTTAACTGGACCTGGACCTAAAAACGGACCAATTGAAGACCTCAACCTATTTAAGTAAATGGCCCGTTGAAACCCGTCACACCCATCACGCCCGCTGAACTCGTGTGACCCGCTACAACCGGTCGGGTTGAAATTTTTATCATCTTCTTGTCCATCGATCGTTCATCGATCTTCTCCTCCGTCGATCGTCCACCGATCTTCTCTTTCGTCGATCGTCCGTTGATCTTCTCGTCCATCGATTGTCCACCGATCTTCTCTTTCGTTGATCGTCCGCCGATCTTCTCCTCCGTCACTGCACTTTTTCTCTTTCGCCGATCGTCTTCATCTACCTCATTTGTTCTGCTCAAAACAAAACAGATCGTCTTCGGGTGAAAGTAACACATATAAAAATTAAAATTCAATAAAAATGCCAAAAAAAAAATTTTTTTAGTTTACTTTAGTTGATCGGTTGAACCGATCGAGTGAACCAGTTCAACCTGTTGACCCAGACCCAATGATCAAAACGGACTAACCACCGGACCGGGCCCAAAAACATTGGAGTAGACACTTTGGCAGCAAAATACTCTCTTTCCACTATATTACCCTACTAATATTACTATTCCACCAATTAAGAGGTCAATCCCCCAAAAGTTAGTATCATCTTTTCTCTCCATTTGTGCAACCATATGATATTCCTAGGCAAAATGCAGTTCAACTGAACTATTATTCCAAAATCCCAAAAATATTCAAAGGAATTATAGGGCACCACCATAGATCTAACCAACACATACAAATACTAGTATCTAGAAAACTACCATCTTGACACATGATTGCTTGAAAGAATTTCATTGAATTGAAACTTGAACAACTGAATCAAATATAAAGGACATAAATTTTTGTATTTTACAAAATTTTGTTTTCGAAGTTTAAATTATAGTGATCATTCAAATATAAAGCAAATGTTTAAAACTTGAGTAAAGGGATCATTTCTCTCATTGTGATTAATTCATATAAAGAAATGATAATTTTATCTAAATAAGAAAACAAAAAAGTGTTTTTTAGGCGGACTTAGGGCAGACTATACATTAAAAGTGCAATCTACCCTATAAATTTACTTAAATACCCTTAATAAAACTATTTAATTAAAGGTGTTTAAGTAAATTTATAAGATAGATTGCATTTTTAAAGTACAGTTTGTCTTGAAAAATTTGAATCTCATAAGAAAAAAATATAAAAAAATGTAGTCAAAATCTAGTTATATTAATGTAACTTAGATAAATTTTTTTGAACAATTTATATTTTATTAAACTAATTGTTGAATCTATTCTATTCATGTTATTTTATGTTCCAAATTTAAAATTGATTTTATATATGTAATTTTAGAAAAAAATTATATTTTTATACTATTTATTTAAAGGTCTTAAATTATATGTTATTCAAGAATAGTTAAATTAGTGAGTAATTAATTTAAAATTTGGTGTGGATGATTGATTTAAAAATTAATATAAATAATTATACCATGTAAACTCATAATTAAAAAAAAATTAGAATTTTACCCCAACTTATATTTGCGACTCCATCCCGGCCTTAATCCATAGTCCTACCAAGGTTACTAATATCGTTCTATATCAGTTAGTATATTTGGTATGTATTAATTTTTTTAATTTGATCGAAATGGTACAATATAAAATTTTGTTTTGGTCAAAATTTAAGTAATTTGGTCAAAATCCAATATACCTACTTAAATTTTGACGTACCTACTGAAATTTTGACATACCGACCAGCATATCAAATTTTGGGCGGTACACAAATTAAAAAAAAAAAAGAAAAAAGAAAGGATTCCCTAGCCCAAAATGATGTCGTTTTGGCTAGGTGTTTCTTTGTTACTCTGCATTCTGCAATTTCAGACTGCACAGTGTTGCCTTGCCAAGCCATCCTTCGATCCTTGAGTCTGCGATACTCCTCGCCACACCATCGACGTGCAGCTGCTACTCCTCTTGTTGTTTCATGAACCATGGCTAGAGGGTTTCTTAATTACTCTACAACTTCAGATTGCACAATGTTGCCTTGTGAAGCCATCCTCTGATCCTCGAGTCCACAACACTCCTCGCCGCACCATCGACGTGCAGTTGCTGCTCCTTTTCTTGTTTCACGAACCGTGCGCCTTAGATCTTGGACTTGGAGAGCGATTTGTGGGAGGGCTATAATTTCATATTGCAATTTGATGCAGATAAAATGAAAGATAGGTGAGAAAAATGAGGAAAGCCCCAATTTGCTCTCAATAAATTCCTCTAGAGAAAATACAAGGGAAATCTAGTAGAAATTGAAAGAAAGATTTCTGATATATTCCTCGATATATTACTCTGAAACCCAAGGATTATAGATAGTTTCTCAAATGGAAGATTACAAAGGATAAAGGATGGTAGACGATGAAGAACAAATTTCTGAACTAGTCCAAAATTGAAACACAAAGCTGCTAAATAACCTAACCCTATTCAAAACGACCTCAGACATAACGTTAAACGACAATGCTTAATTAATCCTACTTGGCAGCCATATCATTATCTAGGTCCCACATGCCTTATTTACCACATATCACAATTTCTGCAATTTCTGTTCTGCAATTTCAGATTTCTGGGCTAAGATTTTCGCTTGGGTAATAATGGGGTTTACGTTAATTATTGAGGAAAAAAAGGGTTGTTGTCAACTCAAAAGATTTTCTAAAATATTATTTTTAATTACATTAATTTTTTTATAATTATTTTAAAATTTAATATTTAATTTATAAAAATATATATTTATATCAATAAATTCAAAACGTTACGTAAAAAATTTTAATATATAATATGTACCGTTTTAAAGATAAAATCGAAACGCATGTCAATATAATATTGACTAGTTTGAGTCCCACACCTTATAACATTGCGAGCACCATCCTCCGCCACACCAACCGCATTCCTTCACCCAAAAATCTATGCACCAACCAGCAAGATATGCCGTTTAATATAATATCAACATTCATTTGTAACCACCAACTCGTAAGAAATTTTTGTTTTGATTTTTTTTTTTTTATTGAGAGATATGATCAACAAAAGAGACAAAAAGATAGGAGATCAAAGAGAAAAGACAAAAATATGGAGAAATCTTCAAGAGAGACAGAGATCTTGAAGGTAGGAATTCACAGGAAGGAAATCCTAACCTGAGAACTAGGAAGGATGGTTTATGGGGATTCCTTAAAATTTTAAATTTTAAATTTTAAATAGGAGTTTGATGCAATTTCCATTTTATCAAAAAATTAGAAGTTTAGCTTTGGAAGCTCAAATCATTTTATCTTCTTGATCTTGTCTTTCTCTTACTCTATTTCACGCCGAGCTACCAAGATTTATAGTTGATTGGGTAGGGTTGGTTGTAATACTTGGGAAAGGAAGTACCCTTTCTTCAAGGCTCATTGCACACCCAGATCCTTCTCTGCTGTTTGCTTGTTTTTGAAGTTGCATGAGTCTATGTATATCTGCGGTATATTAGGGGTTTGTTGTTGTTGCATGTGTTTTCTAAAAAATCCTTAAGTGGTTTCGCATATGCGGAATCTGAATGCAAGTGTGTGCCACTTACTCTTTTGAAAAGCAAGAAAAAAAAAATTTTTCTAATGACTTTCTCCTTCCATGCAGTCGACCTCCATTAGGATAACTAGAAGAACATTGTTTACACTACTAAATTTTTTTTTTTGTCAGCAACTAAATATCAGTAACATGAAATTGCTTGTCGATGATATGAATTTTCACCGACAAGACTCATGTTGTTGATACTTAAATAGTACACAATACTTCAAAAAGTAATCTTCACTTTTAGCAACATGATTCTTGCTGCTGAAAGTGAATTTCAACAATAACAACCATGTTGTTGAAATTTTTCGATGAGTTAGGCAGTTATTCATTGATCGGCAATTGCACCATACCATAAATTAATCAGCAACATGGGGAGCATGTCGGTGATATGAATTTTCACCCATATTGCTGATACTTAAATAGTACTGGCAAGGGCAGTCTTCCACCTGTTTACTTTGTTTATGGTAACCTTTTGGTGACGCACAAAAGCTTTGCCAAAGCTCCCCCTTTAGTTGCGGACATATGATGGATCCACATGGAAGAAAATGGGTAGAACCATCTGCCCCAACTTGTCTCTGCAAGCAAGGATCTTGACAAGCTCATCCAGGCACCATCCAGAACCAGCATGGTTTGTGGAGTTATTTGCAATTTTTTTTAAGGAAAAGGGAAATTGATCCCGAGTTAGTATTAAGACTTCTGTGTTCTATTTTGGTTACAATGAAAATGTGACTGCCTTTTTTTTTTTCTTTTTTTTTACCAAATTATCTATTGCATTATTCAATTGACCCTAATTTTCATCCTTAACCATAAGAGTCGACTTTAAGAAGAAACAGAGTTAATTATATAATATCAAGATTCAACTCCAAACTTTGAGAAAGTGAAGTGCATTTGGAAACAAATCAAAGTCGACTTTTCAATAAAAGATTCGACTCTATACATTAAATAGAGTCGACTCTACATTGTAAGAGTTGATTCTTATACAAAAAGAGTCAATTCACATTTTTAATAATAGACTCTTAAAAAAATTATTTTATATTTTTATTTGAAATATTTATATAAACTTAAATATATGTTCATATTATTTTTTAAAATTATAAATAAAATTCTACTATTGTAGTTATATTAATTAATATATTAAATGTTAAATAATATTTAATAAAGTAATAAAAATAAATTAAGAGATTAAAATTTGAAAAATATTAAATGTTAAGTAATATTTAGTTCAGGACACTTAGCACATGGTACAGACGCCTTGAATAACGTGTCGACACCATACCCGTGTCGGGTTTCAAGTCTCCTTTTGTAATTTCTTTGATGGTAAAATTACAGATCTGGTCCTCAATATTTTACAAAATGATCAATTTGATCCCAAAACTTAAGATTCATTCATTTAGGTGCCAAATGGAGCCTTTCTTGTTGCAATTCAATCCTTCAACCTTCATAAGATATTCAATTAATTATGAAAACTCATATTATGCATTTAAATCCGTTTTCACACCAAGAGTGAAAACAATGTAAAATCTATTAAAAATCATATATTTTTCATAATCGACTCTTAAGAAAAAAATATTTTATATTACCATTTGAAATATTTATATAAATTCAAATATATATCCACATTATTTCTTTTAACTATTAATAAATTTATACTAATGTAATTATATTAAGTAACATATTAAATAATAAATAATATGTAATAAAGGAATAAAAATTTATTAAGAAATTGAATTTTAAAAAATGAATTTTGAAGTATATATGAATCAAGAAATGGGCAAAAGATGGCAAATGAGAGTTTTACCAATATGGTACATGTCGGTGATAAGCTTGGATTTTGAATTTTGAACATCTTTTACCAACATGGGATATAATGCTAACTGGAGGGCAAACCTTTTAACAACATGGAACATGTTGCTGATTGGAGGGTAAATATCTTAGCAACATGCAATATGTTGCTGGGGAGTCTATATATACTCTCACCACCTCCACTCACCATAGACCGAGCATTTCTCCTCCATTTCTTTTCTTCTTTTGCAATTTTCCTTCTGCATGTCTGCATAATGCCTGTCCTCTATTTCTCAGCCTTGTTTTTCCATCAGTTTTGCAGAAATCCTCCACATGTCACTAATTGTTTATCCATAAGTTATATCATATATTTCTTTATTTTTATCATGAAATTCTCATACATACATATATATATATATAATTACATTAATTTTTATTAAAATTATCTAAATATGTTAATAACTAATGTCAATATATTAATTAATTTTCCATGTGTTAAATAAAATTTAATATGAAATAAAACCAATTAATAAATTAAATTTTATTTATAAAAATGAATTTTTTAAAGATTAAGAATTATTTAAAATATAATAATTTTAATCATTTGGTGGTGGGGCGAGAGTGATTATGATTTCAAATTTTAGCAATATGATACACACGTTGGTGATGAGAAGTAAGATTCATATTCAAATGGGTTTTAGCAACATGGTTTAAGATACTGATATGGGGTAAACTTTCAACAAGAAAGGTTATGTTGCTGAAAGTTCTTTATATACCCCACAATCTCCATGAATTCTGCAATTCTCCTTCCACATGGTTTCCTTCCTCACATGGTGTGCTGCAACTTCCTCTGCTCCGTGCTGCAACTTCCTTTGCTTCTCACACCTCTCAGCCTCTCTTCTTTTTTTTTCTTTTTTTTTGTTATCGCATGAATTCTACAATTCTCTTCCCACATGCCTAGCTTTCTTCTCCTCGCACGCCTCTCAGCTAGCCTCTTTTTTCTTCTTCTTCTTTTTTTTTTT